TGATTGCGAAATATGGTGGCTTTATTGAACCTGCAATTCAATTTTTAGATAATATAGAATGTATTACTTGGGTGAAAATTTGCAAAATAATAACAATTAATTTCAGGTAGTATATAATTTATTGTATAAGTATTATATTCTTTATTCTTGCTGGTAATATGGATTTAGAAATTTTGAAAATATACATCTGTGCAAAACAACTTATTAACAAAGGTTAACGCAAACTGATGGTTTAGTAACTTTACTATTTTCCGCCGTTTCTTCCACTGGCCGCGATACTAATTTTTTTTTCCGCCGTACGAGTTCAAAATCCGCTGAAAACGGCGGGAATTCCGCCGATATGGCAACACTGGTTCTGGCTCCCCTTAGTCAGAATCATCCATGATGCGATGTTATTAGCTGCATCAGCATCTATCTCGGGATAGGTTAATTTTCACAATTAGATACTGTGAATGTAATAAACACTTCACTCCTTAAGAGCAATGCTCTCTGACACGTTCGGTGTTGCCGAAGGTAGATCGTCCGAATGCGATATCTCCAGCGCCACGATGCGGACTTTTGCGGAAGCTGGGCAGTAAAATTGTGGATGTAAATGCGCATGCGTATTCCACTGGGAAATTGGAATACGCACGCAGTCGCAATACTGCTTTCTCTGTCTTACTCCTCTTACAAAACGTTGTCTTCTACGTTCTTATTCTTCTTTATTATTTTATAATTATAAATTGCAAGGCATTAAGTCGGCAGGGAGAGATTGTCAAATCTTCATAACGACAGAAAAGTAAAGCAATCCGGGTCAGCATAACGTCTGAAATAAGCTATCTATGAATATTATGAAGACTGAAATAGATACTACCCCAGCTCAGCCTCAGCATGAGTACGCATCACCACATCGCCTGACACGTGCCACTCTAATCTACTATTACTGTACATGTCATTTTTTTGTCTAAAAAAAAATATCATCATTTTCATCTATTGAAATAATACGGCTCTTTTAGTCATTCGCTTGGCTCGTTGCGGATTACGGATTTAACGTCGAAAATTCGGTGATGTGGTACCTCTGGCAACATTGGGCGCACTGTACTCGACCCCCGAACTGCCCACGAACGCAGCATTCTTGAACTTTGCAAACAACGCTTCTTGTTGACTTTGTCGACAATACCACACGTGTAATCGTCAACATTTATACAGATAATATTTATTAAAGAATTAAGGTTGATTTGCACAGCATTGTGATGTTTCATGAAATATAAATGTTTCAAAAGTTTGTTCACATATTCCCACACATTATTTATTATTTCGTTGTCATAAAATTAAACGACAGATATTGAATAGTATTGTTTGGTTTAACAATAATTGTCATTTGTTTGTTTTATTGATTTGTCTTAAACATCAATTATTTAAATTATTTTATAGTTAAGATTTATTATATATGTTCGGAGTTCTGATTCATCATGCGTTTAGTATTGTCCTATTTAGATAAGTTTTATTGCACACAATCAGTTGTGAAATTCCTGTGTGCAGCATATCTGAACATTTCCCGTGCAAACTACAGAACATGTCATTGATATTGTCAACAATACTACACATGTAATAGTTAAATTTTACTGAGTAAATTAGTTATTAAAGAAAAATAGTTGATTTTAATTACTTTATGAAGTTATATGAAATGGGGACATTTGAAATCGTTATTTACAACAGCCATATGAGTTATATTTTATTATATTAATCAACAGCTAGGCATGGAATGTGTTTATTGCAACAACAATGACTTTCATATTTACTTTCTCGCACATACTGAAGTAAGCAGAAGAAGTATTGCATTCGTACGCCGGAAAAAAGCGAATTTTCGACACAAATATTCTTAGTGGCGAGCCCTGGTAAGGAAACAATGAATCAGTCCTGTTGCTAAATAGAGGAGAAATATCCTCTAAGACGTAGTGTAGCCAGAGTCCTTCATATCGAAAAATCAACTAGCAGCAAAACATCTGTGTCTCTGACTGTACATCTGTGCACTACACTAGCACATAAACCGGACAGCCAATGTTCTCCAAAACTGATATACCCCAATCGCTCTGGCTGATGTCCCAGCCCTTGAATTTTGAAAACGATATTTTAATTTTGGGGAGTACTTAACATGAAGCCCCTATGGCATTTTCAAAAATTAAAAGAAAGCTAATTATTGTATTAAATTTTATTGTTGAATAGTGTAAAGGACGTTTAAAAGAATGGTTCAGATCTCATTTTCATCGTCGATTTTTAGAAAATTGGGGAAAAAATTAACTTTAAAATTGGAGATACAGATTTTTGTCCCAAAGTCTATTGATCAAAATAAGCTCTTTAAAAAAGGTCATGTACAATTTTTTTGAAAAACAAGAATTTTTTGCGTTATTTGCGATTAAATTAAGGATTTTTTTAAAATCAAAAATCGCTCAAAAATTTTCTTTAAAATTTCTTCACTTATGTAATAAGTGACAGTAAAAAGATATGGTGCTAGTCCCATTTTCGGGTATTGCTCGGTTCTTTGAAAATTATTAAAAAATATTTTAAAATACAAAATTGGAGATTGAAATGTTTGCCTGACGCAAAGACTGTTGTACAAAATTAGATCTTTACAAAATGTCACTTTTTTTCTTAAAAAACGATTATTTTTATTAATAAACGTTTAATAATCTTAATAAACTTTTTTCCTTAAAAAACGATTTTTATTGCTAAATGGCAATTTTCATAGAAAAAAATTGGAGCAGTTTCTAAGTAAACGACGTTTAAGTGTTACTGTAAATGCGAAATTTGAAGATCTTATTCACAGAAATTGTTTGAGTATTCGATAAACTTTATTTGATGTTATTTGTAGCACTTTCACTCACAGGTGCAATAATGAGAACAAACCACTGAAAATGTGTATATAAACTGAGTGCGAGTATTTAATAATACGGAGTAAAATACGTAGCATAGAAAAAGTTAGGTAATGCTGCAGAAAATTGATTTCGAGATTTCAACGGAAATACTCGTTTTGGGGTCCCCTAATACCGAAAAAGTTATTCTTTCCAAAACGTCCGCAGTCTGTGAACACTACTAGCGCCTAAACCATGCGTAGAATTTTTTCCAAATTGAAGAAACCTCTGTTCATCTGGTTCCAGTGGATACTTTGAGGTTTTGAAAAACATTCTTTGAAATTTGGGGGCCTTCACATGAAGCCCTTTGAACATTTTCATAATTTTCTCAAAAAAAACGGCACCAAATTGTTTCTTCAAATTTACTGTAAGAATAGAGTAACATACGCTTATAAAAGTGGCATACGTCCTATTTTCACGGTTAACTCTCAATTTTCGAAATTTTTAAAAATATTAATTTTTTTTGGTGTCTTTCTACAACGACAAAATTAGATAGAGATTTTTCCTTCCAAAGAAACTTGTTGTATATCATTAGTTCTTTTATTAAGGTCACGTACATTTTTTTGATTAAAAATGTTTTTCCTAATATTCAAATAAATTTTTAGCCTTCAAAATGGCTATGTGAGCGAAAAATTTTCGCTCCAATAAATAAGTATGTGATTCCTATAAATTTAATGACCATGCTTATTTGTGTGGTGAAATTAAAACATTTTTTTTCAATAGACATTGATCTTCATAGTGTTCAATGCTTGCACTCTACTGGTGAATGTTTGATTTCCCTTGAAACACATGTGGATACCAGTGTACAGTTTAAGGTAAGAGTCCCTGTTCTTTAACTATATTGACTATAAGAAACATGTAACTATAAGAACATAAGAACTATATTATAAAAACATTTAACTGTAAGAGATATTGATGCGCCATGGTACGTGACTGAAAGTGAAGGAACGAAAAAAAAAATTTGTTGAATGTGAAATACAAACTGGTTGTGAAAACAGCTATCTGTTCCTATTAAACGTTTCATTTGGAATTAAAATAAATAAACCATGTAGTGTGATGGGCAGTGCTTTGCACATGTACAACCATATGTAGGCCGGTTTAAGAGTCTCCGGGAATGATAATTTATTTATTTTCTAATGTTCCGCAAAGAAAACCTATGTTATAAAAAAACTACAAGCTTAGTGGATTAATGAATGATATAAAATTGTTTTCTTGGTCAAATTACTTACAATTCAAGTTTATATTAGTGTTTATTTCTTTTTTATTATAATAAAAATATTGCATGGAAATAACACTTTTTAATAAAACAAAAAGTACATACTGATCGATAATGATTGCTGCTAATTTATCGATTTACGTACTAACGTAAAACGCTAAAAGCCCATAAATGTATAGTTTAAGATAATACAAATTTGAATTCAACGCAAAGTCCAGTTCTCAAAGAAATAACAGGAGCTCGTAACTCTATTTTTCTTAATAATACATGCCCCAACAATAGTTACTATTGTGTCCATTACAGTTATGTAAGTGAGAGCATGAACGTTTAAGTGAACGATTTTAAATCATAGTCCTTTGCCAGGTTTTATCCAAAACTGATAAGTAAAATTCGGAATAGCCTGCAAGCTTAAAATTTGTGTTCCTAAATACTGTTAAATTTTGGCAGACATAATAGTATTACAGTAATACCAAATATAGATTCCTAATTGTTTTATATTCAAGTTCCATTTTGTCTTCCAACGGATTTTTAGCATGAAATGGTCTAGGACTGTGTTCCCCCAGAGCCCTTAGATGCATGCTCAACCTCAGCAAAATACATGCCTACTCATTCACAAGTACAATTAGGAGAATGAAGAGAGAATAACTGAAACTCTGCAGATGCAAACTGGCAGTGGCAGTGGCGGTATGGTTATCACACCGAGTGTGGAAACATAGACGTTCAAGTTTCAATTAAAGGTCTGGGGGGAAAGTTGCTGTTTGAAAACACTCACTTAGGTTAGGTTGGATCAATGAAGTTATCATCTAGAAGTTTTCGATCACAGGCTATTACATATAATTAACTGAATTCAAATGTCTAAAATGTGCACCAGCGTTCGGCTAATGACAATTTCAGAGAAAAACATAGACAATTTCCACTGGAACTTTTTCCAAAGGAAGAATTTTATTGGTTTCACAATATAAATGTGCACGACAATCTAAAACGATTCACATAGTGCACAAATCGTGTGCCGTTTCGAATCCATCATGAACACATCAATCACATTCCGTTTTAACCTTAAGCGTACCTTCAGTTGAGTCAAAATACACAAGATGTACACACCAATATATATCGTTGAACGTTAGTGTGACCACCCAGAACATTAAAGATGCGCACTCCGTGCACGTTACGTTAACGCATCTCGCATTCATTACCTCACACATCCATTTTCAAAAGGGTACATATATCCTAAAAGTTATAACATTGCAACATTCAATGAAAACGGTAACTTCGCTTTTGGTTACCGCATATCTGAAACTCTATAGAAGTACTTTCGATATTTTACTAGCCCGAATGATTAGAAAAACATTTGAGGTCTGTCTGCACAGAAATATATACGAGTACTATTCAAGAACTACGACATATATAATATTTCGAGAATTAATCAACAAGAATCAATTTCCTATTGTGTATATTCTTCAGTCAGCAGTGATTCCTGCTCGTCCGCCGCGGAGATGGAAGGCCCGGGTTCGTCCCCGGGCGGAGGGTCCGCGAGGAGATTCTGGCGGAGGCTGGGCCCCAGCACCGCGCGCAGCTCTGCGGCCGCCGCCATCACCGCCGGCGCCGTCTCGGGCCGCGGCCAGCGCACCACCGGACGCGTGTCCAGCAGGAAGCGCAGCAGGCGCGGCAGGCGCCGGCGCTCCAGCGGCTCCAGCTCCAGCAGCACCAGGAACTCGCGGTCCTCGCTGAACAGCTTGTGCTGCGCCATCTCCAGCTCCCACTGGCACCACTGCAACCACCAGCGTCACAACAAGCTCTCCAAAACGCCTTAGACGTTGTCATCTACGACATGGAACAGACTGACCTTGCTGTCGATGAAGTGTTGAGTGAGGACGACGATGACCTTTCTGCTGTGCTCGATGGCGTCGACGATGTTGGTGACGATGTGACTTCCCAACCGGAAGTCTCTGTCGAAGAGGCACAGGACGTAGCTCTCGGGACGGCGCTCTAGGAGAGGCACCAGTCGACGCAACACCCACTTCCGGTTCTTCCCACTGTCACGTAACACGAGCTTTAAGTTACTTTATCTACGTAGAATATTTTAAAACTCTTTCACATTATTTTACAAAGAGTATTACAAACACCCTTCCACATGAAATTCCTTATGCATATGTACAGTTTACATACGTACAGTTTATGTATTGAATTCTGAATGAAGTTCTCTAACACAGAATAATTTATTGTGGTTATATAGAATGTCTCTGGGTAAAGATATTCACGCAATCATATTCCGTTTCACCATTTGCGTATTTCTCCTGGATTTAAAACGGCACTCGATTCATTGTAACGTTGTTATATTGTCTTACATAATCTACAAGTGCACTATCCATATACAAGCAAACTTGGGTTTCATGTGATTTCAAAATAACTTCTTTTTTATAATATAATTATTTAGATGATATAAAGATGAATTCAATCCTTTTCACACTTTTTGTTTGTTGGTCTGTCTTTCTGTCAGCCCGGGCTCTCAGGAATGGCTAATTCCATTTCGATGGGATTTTATTTAAAATTGGAGTATTTTCTCAGACACACCTTAATCTACTTTTTCTCAAACTATTATTTTATTTTTGTAAAGAACGATTCGTACTTTTTTGTACAAATGTACGCTTTATTTCGATATGAATGAAAAATATTATATTCCTGTTCTCTATTGAACATGCTCAAGACTCGAAGTGCTCCTGTAGACTAAAGACCATTAAAATGTGTGACATTGGCATGGTCAACACTAGAAAACGACTAGTGAGATGTAAAAGGACTAGTAGTTTTGTAGCTTACAAAACGCACGTAAAAGACGATACTCATTAAGCCATTGAAAGTTTCTCTTTCATTAATTAATAATGTTGGCCAAGGCAATGCCTCAAACGTATTTGAAATGCCGCAAATGACAATTCACCAATACAGCAACAGTATGTACACTGTATTTTTTACGATCGGCTAGCGGACTAAGTTTCCGGGGACATAATGGAATTAACAGTTTCGTAGTTTTTCCGTCGTTTGTATTAAGAAGAGGGTATTTCTTCTTTGTCAATATTTGGAAACAATTTCAGTGCTTCCGCTTTCTTTCAACACAACCATCTACACATTAAATAACAAAATAAATCAACTGCACAGTAACGAGGCAATTCTGAGCAAAATGTTGGAAGAAACATGTGTTCGTCAAACAGAAATATACTGTAGTGTGCTTTTTCGCACTAAATTACTCACCAGCGTTGTTGATTACGTACCTGTAGCAAACGAAGGCGTCGTAAGAAGTGCGGGTGTTCCTCTGTTTCTTCTTGGACATTGAGCGCACTTTCGCTAAATGCGCCAAGTAAACCACTTCGGTCCGGTAGTAGAAGAGAACACTACCAATGACAACAATCGAGATAACACCAACAGTAGGTGCACCAATTCCCAGCCAAAGGTAGCGATGTGGGATGAAACAAATTTCGAAGTTCACACTTTGTACAAAGCGATTCTTGAAGTCCTTTGGCTGATGGCATTGCAAAGGCGTTTTTTGCCCCAAATTCTTGACTTTTATTATCGTACTGTCCAACCAGCGCTGCAGAAATGAAGTTTGGCAATCCGCACAGTCTATTAGATTTCCTCCAAGATCTACTGTATTTAGAAAAGTCAAGGATCCTACCATTTCTTCCGAAAAAATGGCTATGCGATTGTTTGAAATATTCAAAAACGATATCCGTAGTTTTGGAACACCAAACAAATCCGGTGATGGGTCCTGCTGTTTTCTCAAGGATTTAAACTGCGTTGTATTGTTCTGTTTACAAGTAACTTCTTTAATAAAAATATCTTGCTCTTTCCACTCTGAAATTTTATTATTAGAAATATCTAATTCGTTTACTGCACGTATATGTTGGCCTAAGTTTATTAAATTTGATAGATGATTATTTGATATATTGATGGTTTGGAATCTATTGCAAGGTAACTTTGGCCAATCAGTTAGATTATTTAATCCCAAAGACAGTATTTCTAATTCCTTGAGGGGAATTAACAAATTACCAGGGAGATGTGAAATGGCATTCCAAGAGAGATCGACTGTTTTCAGTTTTCCTAGACCTGCAAATGCATTTTCAGAGAAAAATGTAAGAAGATTTTTACTGAGATCCAGTTTTCTGAGTTTGGGAAAATTCGAAAGTGCTACACTGAAACTTCTCAGTTTACAACGGCTTAGATTTAACACGTCTAAATTAGTAAGATTTCCGAATTTTTCAGTCCAATGTTCGATTCGAGTTCCTGACAATGTAAGACTCTCTAGTTTATCCAGTACATTTAATATGTCTGGATTGAAGATAAAATTCTCCACAAGTGATTCAAATATTAAGAGAGTCAGATTTTTTAGTTCACTAATAGCTTTCGGGAGTTCATGAAATTTGTTCTTCTCGAAGCACAACCATGTAATACCACCGGAATGAGCCAAATAGTCTGAAAAACAAAAAATAAATACATATATTTTCACATTTTTGTAAAGAGAATATACAGACACAATAAATATTTTTCAAAAGAAACCTCGATATGTGGAGCCGTGGCATCCAAAACAAGTATTATTATATTTCCTTAATGTGCGAAATTTTTTCCTCTAACTTGTGTTCTCAGAGTTCACGTTTTGTGGCATCCAGATTCTAGAAGTAGACTATGGGAAAAAGTCTGTATGTCAGTGGTCAACGCCTAAACTGTTGAGTAATTTTCTTAAATTGATATTCCTCGACCGATCTGAACAACAAGAGGTCCAACGAGTTTTCAGCAGCGGATCTTTTGATTTTGCGTGTGCCTTTGAGTTGAATCACAAACAGTATTCAAACTTTTTATCTAACCAAATTAATTTTATTTATATAGTATATATATACTATATATACTATATATATATAAAGTAGATATAATATTCTCATTTTTATCTGAACTCTCTATTTCTTTAAATTTGAAATTTTTCCGCCATCATTTTCGCTGAAATAATTTAAGATAAAGATATTTTCCTTAACAAAATGTCAAAAACCGAACTTGTAATAAGGTCATGTTCAACTTTAGGGAAATATGTTTCCATGTAATATTGCCTGAAATCGGCTAAATGGTTTATGCGCTAGCGTTGTTTACAGACGGACAAACGTTGATTGAATTTTCGGTATCAAAACATGGATGCTGACTACATAACAAAGAAGTTATTTATTATATAGGGACAAGATTTATTAACTTTTTTGTTAACTGTGCCAGCCGCTGAGACTTTTCTATCGAAAATTTATCGGTGTTTTTTTTCTCTCAGTATTTCACTACTCTCATTATACTGCGTAAGCACTACCGAGAAAGTAACTAGGTGTGCTATATAATGGCACAGATTATCTCGTGCAAGTAAGTTTTCTTATTTCTTAAGTCTGAGCTAGTTTCTCGGTCTTGCCCCATCCTCTTGCCAGCTACCTACTATCGCTATACAAAATAAATTTTGTGAAACTTATTTTTCAATTTTCAGCTTCCTTATTGTAGAACGGAAACATTACTTAAATAACACTATAATAAAGAAAAACCTCTCTTTATATGAACATTTTCGTTTAAAAATGTTAAGTCGCTTTTAAGAAAATGTCGTTGAAGAATTACTGCGAATAAAGCTTGAAGCTCTTTATCGCAGAAAGTTTTGAGTTTTTGAAAAACTTCATTGGAAGTCATTTGAATCACTTCTACTTACAAATTCAACTACATATACAAATTGCGCTAAATGACATATATATGGTGAGAACGATATTTCAAAGTATATACAGTTGCACAAATTGTGAAAATACAAAAGAACTCACAAATTCTGCATTTATGTCACTTTAAACAATGTATTTTAGCACTAACTATCCAAAAAGTTTGAAGAAAAAATGGAAGCCTTTTTGCAAATGACGGCGTCTGAACTTTTCTGTTATCGAGAATATTAATAAGCTTTGCGAACGATGTTTTCCGCCCGGAAGCTGCAAGCTCTCTACAGCTTGTCCTCCCCTCTTAAAATGTTACTACTCTATATGTATGAAATTCAGTGGTTAGGCGGAAGAGCAGGCCCTATGGCCTGA